ACAGACTTAGTCTGGTGGCCTTGGTGAGATCTAGCTTCCTTTGCCCAGGAGGACATTGGTCCAGACAGAGAAACGGCATCACTGCTGTGATGGGCAACTCCGTACTTACTGGGAATTTTCAGTCACCTTACACATATAGGGGAAATGGCACTAGCAACTCAGCAGCTACTCCCTAAAATATTTAAAAGCGAAGAGAAACAAAGGAACACCACAAGAATACAAGTTTGCACGATTTTCTTAGACTCTAACTTCCCTTTTGAAATTCACACGGATGCATTTCTGCGTATGTAGACTATGTTGCAGCTACGATACACAGCTACAGGATTAAACATTTCCCCCAATGGTCAGCCTCTGGTGAAGTTCTTGGTGAGAAAGATCAAGAAACTAGGAGAAACAAATTCATAATGTCCCAGAAACTACCAGAACACTTCAGAGTAAACTTTTTTTTGACGGTTTGATTCATTGCTTATGCATATGTAATATTCTATTAACATTACATTACAAATTCATAGAAGCCTGAAAAAATGACAAACTACCTTTCATTGGCTTTAAACCAAACCTACTTCTAAAAAACCTAATGAGACAGAAGATAATAAAGAAAATTGTCGGATAGTTTAGACTAGGCCCAGAGGCTTTTAAACAGTATTTTTTTTTAAATTTTAAATTCAGTTTTTCCTCCCTATATAAAAGAAGCGATATTATGCGGCAAAGCAATGTGAAGGCCACACGAAGGCAGAATGGTGTGACTGCACTTCATCATAATAAAGTCCCATACAGCTGAGACCTTAGAGAATAAAACTGAAATTAGAAAGAGAAAAGGCAACGTTCTTCTTATCAATTACCTGACTCTCAGCTCCATCCCACAGGGGGGAATAAATTTGAGGGGCAAGCGCTGCAATAAATGTGAATGCAGAACACCAAGAGAACAAGTTCAAAATGGTGTGATCCTGATTTCTTCATAAAAGTAGAGCTGGGCATGGTGGCGCACGCCTGTACTCCCAGCACTCAGGAGGCTGAGACAGGAGGATCGTTGCGAGTTTGAGACCTGCCTGGGCTACAAAGTGAGCTCAAGGCCAGCCGGAACTGCATAGCGAGACCCTGTCTCAAAAAATAAATATAAAAAATAAACATAAATAAATTTTTAAAAATAAAAGTAGAGAAGAAAAAAGATTAACAAGATGCTGATCACTCTTACATTGATGTGAAAGCCTTTTCTTTTTTTATGCCTATCTATATTCTCCAAATTTCCTTCATAAATATACACTACTTCTAGAACAAAAAAAGAATTGTAAAAATATAATCTTGTAATATTCTGTAAAAAAAAAATATGAATTCATCCTGGAAAGAAGAAACATTCGTGAAGGGAAGAGAGGGGAGGGGGACAATACAGTGATTTCCGAGGGAGAATGGCACAGGAGGCCGGGGCAAGATGGACCCTGGATGACTGATATGACCTTGAATAAGTAAGCCCATGACCTCCCCCACCCTGTAACTCGCGCTCTTAGTCCAGGAATCCACCCAGCAGGGCTCTTTCAACATTCAAAATTTTAAAAAACAGGGGCTGGGGATTTAGCTCAGCGGCAAAAGCGCCTGCCTGGCAAGCGCAAGGTCGTGAGTTCGGTTCCCGGTACCGGAGAAAAACCCAAAAATAAATAAATAAATAAATAAATAAAATTTTAAAAAGCAGAAAAGAGGAAACACAAAACAATGTAAAACACACACATACACCAGGAAACTAACAAATCCTTGGAATCTTCTAGTGATTTGGATTGTGCTCAGATCATACTGCACAGCATGCTAGAAAAATTCCTGGGGGAAGTAAAATCCTTGGAAAAGTGGGCTCTTGAATAATAGAAATCAAGCCCATTGTTAGGATTTATGGAAACTTCTTCCCCTTCATCACTGAGAATTAGAACGCTCATGTTAGCTGCCGTCTTAAAGATCATCTAATTCTGCCTCCAGAGTTCAGTCACTTGACTGCCAGGTTAGTCACTTTGCCACATCTCCATACTACCTGAACTCTTATTTACTTAATTTTTTAAAAATCAATTTTAAATGAACTCACATAGTTTGTCCTAAGCGGTCAAATGTATGAAACTGTGGATTTTTTTTCATTCCTTCTGAAAACAGTAAAAAAAGACGTAAACATTTAAAACATATTTAAAAGCTGGTGTTTTTCACATGTTTGCCTTAGAAAGATCTTGCCTACCACCACCGAGATGTGTGTTGCACTTGAGAAATAGAGGTCCAATACAATACTCGAGGTTTCCAGTACAGAAAGCTGACACCCAGAGAAAAACCTCTTTCCAAAAGACGCAGATACGTGTGGGAAGGCCTTCTGTCTCTTTTTGGTTGTTCGTTTCATTTTCCGTCTTTTGTTTACCAGCCTTTCCACAAAATATTCAGCTTGACTGTCAACAAGGAGAAAAATGATTCTTGGAGTAGGCGAACCTGGCTTTCATTCCTTGACGCAGAAGAAACACGAGGACTAATAATCATCTTTTGATACCAAGAAATGGTAGCAATGAATCGTTACTGCATAAAGGTAACATTAGGCTAGTTTGTGGCCCCTGGTATGGCATTGTTTTGTCAGAATAAAGCACTTTCCTGCTCTATTGCCACTGCCAATTCAGTATTATCTATTGTTGGAACAAATAAAAATCTTATTGAGGAAACATGAAATGATCCATCTCATCAATCACTTAAAATTCCATAAACATAGCTAGTGGACATTTTCCCTCCTATTTTTCAAAAAATACGAATAATATTATTTCATTGCTATTTTGATAGTAAAAAACTAGATTGTTACCTAGTTAACAAAATATTACTCTAAATTTATATTTTGATCATTTAAAATCAGGCTTAAAGAACTTAAAGTTTTAATAATTGAGATTCAAAGTAATCAGCTTTCGTCTGACAAGGAAAAATGGCTACATTCTCTATGATCGTATCGTAATATCCACTTATGGCAAGTTGTGTTTTCTACCCCAATCTCAAAACTATTTCTTAAAAATATCAAAAAGCTGAGAACATAGCAAAGGACTATCAGGCTGTGAGAAAAGAACTCAGTGAGACAAGCGACATTTGTAAACTGGAAGTAACAGGGGTGAAACATGAAAAATAACTACAGTTCAGATGGCTTTCTGGGCCAAGAATGAGAATGTCAAAGTGCAGAATCCACCCAGGGTGGAGAAGTGAATGGTGCCCAATACTATAACAGGGGCCCCACAGGGCACACACCAGGATGACCGGAAGGAGAAGCAAGCCCACTTCCTCCCCACTCTGAGGAACTAGAGGGAGGCCTTACCCAGACTCTGTTTAGAGCAGAGAGGGAGGGAAGGTGTACTTGAAAGATACCAGTCCATCTGGAAGCCTATGCAAATAACTTCCAAGGACACTGCAGAGCCCACAAAGCCACCATTTTTCTCATCTTAAGGCAGATGCTGCCCTCTAAAGCAGGAGTGACAAAAGTGGAAGGGAGATTGTTTTAGTGTTCAAACTCAAAAGTCTCATCCTCCCTCATCCTCAGAACGCCAGCCGGACACCCACATCTGACACTTCCATTGTCAAATGAAATGAGCCCCAGGGACTATACACATTGCAGCTTGGAAGGAAATGGGTGGTCTTACCGGGTAGTTTCCATCTTTATAAGTATCCAGCCCCAGGTATTTTGTTGCAGAACTAGAAAACAGACTAATACCCCACCCTTATAGTGCCACCCCTACCACAGCCCACTGACCAAATCCAAAAACTAGAGTAAAGAAGTTGCATTACATCCAGCAAAACTCACAGTACGCTGTGTTTTGTGCATCTGGACTTTTAAAACAAAGGAACCAGAGGAAGGAACGTTGAACCGAGAGGTGAGGGGCAGTTGCTTCAGGATTATATATTTGAGAGCAATCATTCTTGCCTCTTTTCTATTCTGTGTTTCCTTTCCCATGAAGTTTTGCTAACCTGGCCCAAGATGAGTGTGTGTGTGTGTGTGTGTGTGTGTGTGTGTGTGTGATGTAAAAATCAGGAACTAGAAGAATAAGACTCACATTCAGTATTTTTCGAGGTTTAAAAAGACTTTGCTACTATAGAATCAACGATCTGTGGGTGAAACGTGCCCTCCTCTTTGCACATGATGATATGGAGGGTTTCCTTTCTCTGTCACATGAAAAGTGCATTATCTCTTTTTCTCCATCTAATAATTTTCTCCTGGCTGAATTCCAGTGTCTTCTCAACTGAGTCATCATTTCTGTCTATGCATGAAAGAGTGTTCGGGATCCCTTGTTTTTCAGAGCTAGAGATCAGAAACCTCTGTCTAGACCCTCGCAGCACTTTTCTTGATCTGGGATAAGAGGCCCAGAGTAGGGAACTCCACTCCAAAAGAGGGGGCAAGGAAGCAGCTCCCTGGCATCAGCAGCTGCTGCCATCCCCATGGATAAGAATCAAGAAAGTCTAACCTTCAGGGTTTGGAGCCAGCGGGCTTAAGAGACATCCAGCAGGGGACAGCCTGACGCGAAGGAGCCCCGCCACACGGGGTGGCAGCAGGTGATAAGAAGCCCTTCCCAAGCACAGCCTTTCACTGTGGGTGCAGTCCCTCCTTTCTTCACATTTTTTTGAAATGCAAATATCCTTGGAAGGCCAAGCCTTTTTAAAAAAAAAAAAAAAATTTCCACATTTACATGAATACACTTCTGGGCCAGGGATATAGCACAGGGCACAAGCGTCTACCTGGCAAGAGCAAGGTCCTGAGTTCCTGAGTTCGACTCCCGTTTCCAAAAAAAACAAAACAAAGACGTGAATATGCTTCCATCCTGTTCTTCCCTCAGAGCCATTTTTGATTGGAGGAGGAGAAAGTTTCAAAATCAAACAAACAAACACACAAACAAAAAACAATATACAAAAGAGAGGCATTGGGGAAAATATTTTTGCGGTGTTTATCCCGTTCTCTGGGCCTTCCCCAGTCAAGTCTGGGCTCCTGAATTACAGTAGTCATCAGCTTCCTATATTACCTGCGGATCGATCATCGGAAATGTCACTCATCTGAACTCTCCGTAATCGCAGTGATGAAATCCAACCTCCAGCTATGCGTGGCACTCCAGCGACACAGCGGGCAGGGTGCGGATGCTGCGCAGGGGACAGAGCAATCTAAGGAACTGCAATCCGGTGTCCAGCGTACAATGAGGAGCACCTGGCTCATAGTACTGAGCATAAGTGACATGCGAGGAAGCATTTGGCATTTCTTCCTGTCCCAGGGCCCTAGGAAGTGTTGTTATTCACACCCTGCTGGCAGAAGCCATGCTCCCCAAATTCGATCCTCAAAATTACTCTGACAATTGCCGAATCTGGTGATGGGCATTTAGGGACCTGTTGTACTATCTTTTTTTCTGGATGTGTTCAAAAAATTTTTAATAAAGCAACTTTTAAAACAATCGGTACCCTAACTTCCCCAAAGTGAATCCCCACCCTTTTACTTTCTTTGCAGTACAGGAGATTGAACCACGACCTTTTCACTGAGCTACATCTCCACACCCTGCCCTCTTTATTTTGGAGAAAGGCTCTTGCTAAGTCTCTAGGAAGTTCCTGCTGGGCTCAAACTTGCAATCTTCCTGTCTCAGCCTCCCAGAGTACTGGGTTTGCAAGCATATGGTACCATGTCCAGACATCTTTTCCCTCTAAAAGGGACATTCACAATGCCTACTGAAACAAGCCAGTAGCATAATCATATATCCAATATCTCCTACACATCTATTTTTTTCTAATTTGCTCTCCAAAGTCTTTCTTTTTTTAAAATTAATGTCTGCAGAACAAACTTATGCTGAAAAATTATTTATTTGAAATTCAAAATGTAACTGGCATCTGATATTTTCATTTGTGAGGTCAAGCAATGCTAGACAAGATTTTTTTTAAGCTCTAATCAAGCGTAAGGATAAGTGGGTTAAATTTTTCATCTTTGTCCCTGACTTTGTAAGCAGGAACAAATTTTTCACCTTCTCTGGGCCTTAGTTTCATCATTCACAAAACAAGAGGGTGGTGGCGGCTATGTCGAGATGTTCCCTCAAAGCCCCATGCAGTCGTAGGTAGGGCTATTCAGAGATGGCTGGGTCTGGAGTGCGTGATGCTGGCTTTAAGTGTCTGTCACTGGGATGAAGTGTGTGATGCTGGGATCTAGGGTATGTGCTTACTAAATTGGTCCGCTGATTGGCTTGGCATAACTCTGAGTGTGGATAGTGGGAAGGCCCAACATGGGTGTGAGTGCTACCCGCCTGAGGGACGTGTAGCCTGGATAGAATATAAGGGACAGGAAGGGAGCTGCTGTGGTCGCTACTTGCTGCTTTGCTGACTTTTGTCTGCCATGAACTCTTTCTCCTCTGCAACGCCCCTCCGCCATGCCACCCTACTGTGGAGCCAGCCAACTATGAACTGAAACTTCTACAAACTGTGAGCTAAATAAACCTTTCCTCCTTTAACTCTGGGTGTTGAGTATTTTGTCTCACTAACCTGAAAAGTGACTAAAACACCGCCGAAGGTTTCCAGGTACAGAAATATGTGTAAATTGATGTTAGGAGGTGATTGGTCAATGTGCAAAATGTATATTAGAGAAAATGGTGCTTGTTCCATTCACCCTACAAAACACACTCATTGAGGGCCTGGTGTGGTAATGTACAAAGACAGATGTCAAAGGAGGTGTAGTTCCTATGACAATGCTTACGTCCAGTGAAAGAGGACTAACAATTTCAAGGCAGTGGAACCTATCCACTAATTTAGTTTGTGACACAACCTATCTCAGGCATTAGTAGTTTTTTAATTCACTATCTGGGCCTCCCTTTGCCATTAGCAATAGAATCCAGTTTTATTTGTAAAACAGTATGCAAAGCCTTGGGCAGCACATCACGTTTGATCTAAACCAATGTTTCCCAAAATTTTTTCATTAACATCTGCATAAATCAATGCAATTTTAATACCACAGATGTACTATATATTTGTTTACATGCTGTTAAATGTATCTACGCTTCATATAGTCTAAAGTGTAGAAACAAAGTTTTTTTCCCTGCCTTTCTTCCACAAAAGAATATTCTTCCCTTTGGAGATGACATCAACATCTTCCATTTGGAGATGACTCTTGTACTACTAATTTCTATTGGTTTATTAAAAGGAACAGTTAATGCTTAATTTTTGACGAATTTTGCATTCCTATATCTGGTAATCTGAACAACTATTTTGAAGATAATGATATACAATATAACAACCATTGTTAAGTTTCTGTCATCTTGTTGGTGGTTTTTTTTTTTTTTTTTTTTGGTTTTGGGGGGGTTTTTTTTGAGACAGGGTCTTGCTATGCAGTTCAGGGTGGCCTTGAGCTCACTTTGTAGCCCAGGCTGGTCTCAAACTTGCAACGATCCTCCTGCCTCAGCCTCCCAATTGCTGGGATTACAGGCATGCACCACCATGCCCAGCTGGCTATCATCTTGTTTTGAAATTGTGTATCATTTTTATTGGTTTTTTTTATTTATTCTCCTTAAAATTAAAAAAAAAAAATTAAAAAATTAAAAAATGAAAAGAATTCATGGTCTAGCTAGGCCCAGTGGTGCAGGCCTATAATCCCATCACTCTGGGAGGCTGAGTCAGAAATTTACAAATTCAAGCCCAGCCTAGTCAACTTAGCAACTTAGTGAGACCCTATCTCAAAATAAAAACTTAAATTAAATGTTAAAAGGACTAAAGGACTGGAGATGTAGTTCAGTGCAAGGACCCAGGGTTCAATCCAGTACTACACCACCCCCCAAAAAATGAAAGGGAATTATAATTCTATCTCTGTTTCTCATCTTCCTCAGAGCTGGAGTGGCTATGTAACCAAATCCTAGTCAACGACACAGAAGGCGACAGCTCATTGGAAACCTCTGGGAAAATTCTACTTTTCCTAGAAAAAGAGACAGCCTCGGCCAACGCGCCCTCCTTTCCACATCCCACCTCCACTCCCATACTCCAGAATGGGGGAGAAGGGCTGAAAAACAGAAGCTGCGGCTCTTATCTTACACTCACCAGTGCAAGGGAAGGCAGGAGGACCGCAGACCATCTGACTGAGTCCTTGAACCTGGGCCAGATGACAGGCCTCGGACCTCTTGTTACACAGAGCGCTGAATCCTGGGTACTGTACAATCTTGCAGCTGGAAGCAGAGACGCTGTGTTCTCAGGAATAACAATGGCCCTAACGTGATCATGAGCTGTTTAAACCAAAGCCAGAAAGGACCACGCACAAACAAAAAACGTGATCAGGAACACCGCACAAATCAGACATGAGACTGCATTCACGTCGGAACTGACAACTCTTTTTTGCTAAACTAATCAACTTTTCAAAGAATTTTATAACATCTCAAGTAATATTTGGCATTTGACATGAGTAAACTTTTAGTTATTTAATATTGCTCTGTAGAAAAATTACCATGAGAGGATATATAAGGTAATTTTCCTACTTCACACCAAAATGAATATACTTACAATTTATCTAGTAAGCACGTGTTTTGAAATAATTGAACGTCAACTATTCTTAAATTAACTATTTAAAATACATAAGGAAAAGATCCCTTTGGGAATCTCTTTACACATTAAAAATTCAGAAATACTCATCTGTGTTCGTCATTTCAAAGTTTCATATTTTGCTGAAATTCTGAAACTACCTGTAAAGCTAATTCTCTCTTATTTTAAGAACATAAGCCATTCACACACCTATTTAATAACTCCAACATCTCTCATTAAAAATGGTTTTCTACTGTTAGGAGTATAGTTCAGGAAGAAAACACTTGCTGGCAGGCCCAAGTCCCTGGGTTCAATCCCCAGCATGAAAAAAAAATTTTTTTCTATGCTTATTAAGGTTCAAAACCCAAGAAACCTGAAACTGCTCTAAATCTAAAGCTCCTCTAAGTTTTTAAAGATGTAATGATAGAGTTTTCAAAGTATTAAGTTTCCTTCAAAATGATCAATAACGTTTGTGTCAGTTTTATTGTTAACCTTACACCAAAAATTGATTTTCTTTTAATGAAGTTACTGGCCTTTTTATGTAAAAGTAATACATGCTAGTTAGAGAAAATATGGAAAGATGGAGAACATCTTAAAATCACATGTAACCTCATCACACACTAAAAAATAACTGGTTTATTTACCTCCATACTCTAAATTCATTAATAAAAATACATTTGTAAGCCTTTTATATATATATAAATATATATGATTTTATACTTTGAATTTTTCACTTGTTATTAAATATTCTTCAAAAATATCACAATTACAGTTAAATAGGATGAAAGATAGTGTATTTAATCATAGCTTTTTGTTGAGCATTTTAAGTTCATTTTAAGTTTCTTCATTATAAAAATCATGTTGAGACAATCTACCTTGATACAAAACACCTTATATTGTTCTTTTAGGAATAATTCTTAGAAGTAATAAAAAGCTATTAATATTTAAGGGCTATTTGTTCATGTTGTTCAACTACTTGTAATTTTTCTGAAGTCTTCTAAAGCCATCTAAAAGAATTCAAAATCGTAATTCAGAACATATTAAGTAGAGAGAAGAAAGAATAGTTTGGCCTTCTTCCCTGACTGGCTGGCAATATTATTTATAAATTGTATTTTTGGCCAATATTTTATAAGAAAAGGGAAAATATAAAATCTAAAGGTTTCCAATCCAACTTTAAGGACAACTAAACTTGGTATTTATTCTGTATTTCACCTTGGTCATTAATCATGTAAATAGCTGGGCATGGTGGTGCATGCCTGTAATCCCAGCACTCAGGAGGCTGAGGCAGGAGGATCATTGTGAGTTCGAGACCAACCCGGGCTACAAAGTGAGCTCAAAGCCAGCCTGAACTGCATAGCGAGGCCCTGTCTCAAAAAGACCAAAAAAAAATCATGTGAATAATGTAGTACTTAAGAATCATTAGGCACTCTCAAAATTGGTAAAGGAGACAAAAAATAATTATAATTGATGGATAAAATAATGAGCTACATTCTTATGGAGAAATAAAACCAATTATGACCAAATTGTAAAGGAAAGAGCACTAACACTTAAACTGCAAGTGCATGAATGATTGTAGAAAAAGCTTTAAAGTACAATTACTTCAGTCCTCCAAAGAAAAGGGCAGTAAGGGCATTAAGTTACGATGATATAACTTCATGAAGTTGGCTGGTCACAGGTCCAAAAAAAAAAAAAAAAAAAAAAAATCAACTTAAGCTAAAAACACTGATTTTTTTTTCCTTAAATACACTTGTACAAGCAAGGTTTTAAACTGAAACTACAGGCGTCTAGCCCCTACTAAAAGAGAAACTTTAATTTTTCTTCTCCTATATGTATGTGTACGATGGATCTTTGCTGAATAACCTGTCAAATGGGCAGCCCTTGCAGAATCCAAAACTCCTGGTTTGATTTTGATCTTTTGATTCAAGTTTTACGTAGGATCCCCCTGCCACCAGGTGAAAACTATCATGTATTCTCATGCTTCTAAAGTTTAATAGAAATATATTTTAATGCTTCTTCTGAAATGTAGAAGATGAAAAGACAGCTAGAGGCCTCCAAAAGATTCTCATTCAAATGATCCTTTACTCATGAGCTGTATTTCTACTACACAAAGAAGCAATATTGAAGCCTTTAAAATAGATTTTATTCACCTGGAGGGAAAACACTGGCATGGTGGCAACTTTAATAAATAAAAACTTACAAATAAAACATGTATGAGTATACTTAAAACGTATACACCACTTCTGCTGCAATGAATATACATTACCACCTTCTTACTACTATATTTTAAAAGTTAACATTATTACTAGACTTCTCTGACATTGCTGGATATTCTGAGTATAGGAATGTAGTGACAATATTACTTTAGCAGATATAGGAAATTGTGGTACTACCAGTATGTAAAATTTTGCTAGCTCTTCCCCTCCTATTTCCTGTATTTACCTCCAACACCCCTCTACTCCCTCATCACAGCCAGGGAAAGAAAAACTACTGATACAAATTCCAGCAACTCTCTCCAAAAGACAGTGGAAAATCGGGTTTTATCAAGTACGTATACCTAAGGGGATTCATAGACACCAGGTGAATTTCTGTAGCTGTTGGTGATGGGTTTCCACCATTTAAATATGAATCCACACCTACAGCTCTTCCTCTCTTTGCTAGGAGGAATAATCACAGGCATCCTCACACTGCCCAACCTTAGCTGGGATCATTTCCAGCTCACAGCTGGACACTGCTAGAAATTCTTGTGGTAACTGAAAAGAAAGTATAAGACAGACGGGGGAAAACTTCACTGTGTTTAGAGGTGTTCCAGGGGTAATAGGTAGACCAGGAGTGGGGTGAGACGGACAGAAAGAAGGGCTCCCTCCCAAAAGAAAGGAGAACCGTGGAGGAGAGACGTGCTGACCGGTTGCCCACAGCAGTAATGAGGCTGCTAGTCACGAGGACAAGTGCAGGGGGAGCCGTGTCCAGAGATGGAGTTTGCTGCTGGCATTTAGTGGATATGGAAAACAGATGCTTCTCAATTTACAATGGTGTTATGTACTAAACTGAAAATATCAGTAAGGTGAAAATGCAATTTGTTCACCTAACCTACTGAACGTCATAGCTTGGCCGAGCTCGCCTTAAATATCAGAACACCAACATTAGCCTATGGTCGGGAAAAGATATCTAACATGAAGTCTATGTGATAAGAAAGGGTTGGATATATCATGTAATTTATTGAGTATTGTACTAAAAATGAAAAGCAGAATGGTGGGCTGTTGTGTGGGCACCATAATAAAGTTGAAGACTCATTAAGGCCAGGGATCATAAATCAACGACTGTCTTCCGTGTTTGTGTTTTAGGACTGTAACTGCAGGTCACACGATGCCTTATATTAAAATATATATCGAAAGTGGTGGGAAACCTAAGCATGGGTGTACAGTAACCAAAAGGATAATCAAAGGTGGGTTGCACTTATTACATGAGCGTCTGTTAAAGATTTTCATTTTCTACCTCAAACACAGATGTACAGTTCTCAGACTATCCACAAAGAAAAGCTTGACTGAGATTCCTCAGTTTATTAGCCAATTTCAGTACTTGTCTCTAGAGGTGTGAAGATGGGTTCAATTTCCCACAGCCCACACCCCACACCGCACCCCACACCCCACACCCCGTCCAGCCACCCTCTGGCCGTGACACAATACCATCGTCTCATCACTTTCAACAAGGCTGACCAGTTAAAATAGATGCGTCTGGGCTCAGTCCCCACACCCTGCCCGGGTAACACAGGCAAGGTGGACAAAGGGGTTACAAAAGACCTGACCTTTCAACCAAAAATACACAGTTCCCCAAAGTGGAAGTCAGGCACCCACTGACTGACTGTGGCCGGCTGGTCTCCCGTGCTCAGAGGCCTACAGGGAGAGGCCTGTCTCTGAAGTCAGCAGACACCCAGGTTCAGACAGAAAAAGCAGCCTCTGACACTCAGAAGCAAGCACATGATATACCAGCTAATGTCTTCCCCTGAAATGGGCTTCAGTGTCAACAGCTGAGCGTGTCAGAGGACCCCTCGCCACTCTCTTGCTGCCCTCTGGAGTTGGCCGGCCCAGTGTTTACGATCAGCCACCATCTCTGTGAGGTCTGAGGCCACACGTGACAGTACAGAGGATACTAAAGTGGAAATGACCCTGAAAGAGAATTCAGGACAAAGAACTTACAGCATTAACCATGTACTTCCTAAAACAAACTCTAGCCCCACATGTGACTCAGCTTGAGAATCTGAGAAGATAAAATCGTATCTGCCATCTTACCCTCCTCTCAGCCATCAAGGGAGAGTCAGCAGTGTGTCTAATCGGACTCGCACAACCAGAACTTGATTTCCTCGACCTCTGCAATGCTTCCTTTACTGTACTGACAGCACAGAGGCAAGAGTTCTAGACAGGAAGCCTCTGGATCCCTGAAGTCCATGGACAGGCTTTAGAGGGCCTCAAAATCCCTTACAAGTGTACAGCAAATGTGTATATTCCTATATATGTGTTTTCTCTCAAAGAAAAGCATTGTCTCTCTTCATATCTTAATGGAATCTGTGACTGGGAAATGCTGCTTGCAGTGTGAGCCAACCATAAAAACCCAGGTGAGGACTAGCATGGTCGGCAGGGGCCTGTGTAGATCTGAC